TTGGCTTTTAGCAGGAGATCCAGCGGCAGTATTTTGGTCTTTGATCGATTGATTCGCAGCTGGCTTCTCTACTTTTTCTGTTGACTTCTAGCAGCATGTCCTCTAGTTGACAGATCTTTTCCGCAAGCAATACCTCAAAATCAGCGAACCTCAAGTGGTTTAGCTGTTCACGATTGGCGTTAATCCGACCCTTCCATTTTATACACTGAAGTAACACCATGTAGTAAAAAAAGCAGTAAAAAATTTTCACGAGATAGTGTCTCTTTTCTCACGCTGTTCTCTAGGAGAATTCGCAAGTGACGTCGATGCCCTGTTCTGCCAGTGCAAGCCACAATGCGTGCATTCGACAGCTGTCAACGCTTACTGGCAGTCGAAGAAGGCGAAGCACAAACGGAGCTGGTACTCCCTTGCGAGCTGGAGGAGTTGATTTAAGGTAAAAATGTTGTTAGTTGTGCAGCAGCTCATTCAGGACACTGTTTGTTCTCTCGATTGCTGCGCTTCTCGACGTGCTAACAGTTTGTTGGTGATGATCTTAATGAACAGCCTATAAACTTGTGAGAACAGGACCATTTGGCAGTAGTTTTTGCAATTTTCTGTCTCGCCCTTTTTGAACAGGGCGATTGTTCTTTACTCCCTCGAGTTTAGTGATATTCGCTCAGTTTTCAGGTAGCAACTGAATGTCTCCGCCAGCGAGCTCGACGGCGTCTGACCACCTTCTCCGATTGTTTCAATTTCCAGCCGGCCTCTTTCTGGGGCTCTTCCTTCTGCCATTTACCGCACAGCATGCCAAACTTCACTTTTGAGGATCATTGGGCTGCTGGAGTGATGAGGGGACACCTGCATTTGACGCAAAACGCAGTCGCTGTTCTTCGACCATCGGAGATGATCGACTGATAGAACGATAGCTCTCTCTTGTATTCTGTAGCCTTCATCCATTTTTTCTAGGACTCGCAATCGGACAGTCTCTAAGCCTCCTTCACCTTCCGTCTAATAAGCTCACAAAGAGAAGAGTACCCTGCCTTTTAGGTTCATCCTCTTTCGCTTCGTTAGCAAAGCCTGTGTCCCTTCTGAGATCCTCATCCTCACTCTCTTTGATGTTGCCAGCTCGACTGACTTTGCACAGTGTCTCGAGTTCTCGGCAATCTTCTAGTAGATGTTGTCACAGCTGCCTTTCCTGCTAAAATCTTAGCTTGAAATGCGTTTGGGAGCACCGTCGAATATCTTCGATGGTTGTGTGTGTGTTTGTGTG